ATATACGCAAAGAAGTATGGATGGTGAAATGAGAGATGGTGCTTTGGGAATGAGTAGAGTGGCTTAAATCAATCAATGTGTTTCAGTCCACAATAGAACTTTGACTGTTGTTTCACTTCTAAAACCCCAACTATTTGTCCTGATTTAATTTGGATTAATATAGGACTATTGAATCTGGACTAGATAGCAATAAATGATCTTTTTTCTCTTTGCTTCCATCTTGTAGTTCTGCAAGTGGTTTAACTCCATCAGTGAGTCCTACCTAGCCCAGAAATGGGACTTTGTGGTTTCCAGGAAATCAGTTCACCACCAAACATTTTCTTTGAAAAAGTTGAATAAGTTACTTTGTGGTCTTCAAAAAAAAATCAATTTGCCTTTGAATATGGTTGAAAAGAAGAGAAAAATTCTGGATATAAATGTACATTAGTCTAAGAGGGATAGGTATTTTAAGCAGTATACTATCTTCTTGTTTCTTTTTCTTTTCTTTTTTCTTTTTCTTTTGTTTGATTTTTCTTCTTTTTTTAAGATATGAGAAATGTAAAAGTGTTGGGATGGCCTGTATGAGGAAAAAGACTAAAATACTTATGTGTAATGAAAATCTTAACCAGTAAGAATGTTTTGAATATTGTGGGGAAAGCAAATTTAAATAAGAATTTTAAACAGGATCTATGATAAAGCAATCAAGACGATCAGTTAGAAAAGAAGTTTTATAACAATGTGGTTATTATTTGCAGAAATATTAGAAAAAATGTCTATATTTGATTGTTATTTATCCAACTAATAAGAATTGTGTTAATTCAAGGATGGCAAAAGAGAACATTTTTGGAAGAAGAGAGCATGAAGAAAAGCTATTATGTGGACTATAGAATTATAGAAACTAATTGTTATTGATTGTTTTTTTTTAAAAAAAAATATAAACCCAGACAACACGATGTTTACCAAATATTAAGGTGATTATGTAAACAAAAAATAAAACATATTTTTAAAAAAATCAGTTTGCCTTATGTTCAAGAAAGAAGGACTATACTGAACTCAGCTTTGGTTTTGTGAAGAGAATAGTAGCTTCTTGAGAAATTTGACTGACATGGGATAGCAATAGCACTTAGACTTATATTCCACTTCACAGTATTTTATAGCCCTCTCTAAGCAGTTTACAGAGTCAGCCTATGGCCCCCAACAATCTGAGTCCTCATTTTACCAACCTCGGAAGGATGGAAGGCTGAGTCAACCTTGAGCCAGTGAGACTCAAACTGCTGAACTGCCGGCAGCCAGCAATCAGCAGAAGTAGCCTGCAGTACGAGATGATCTCTATGAATTTTCAACTCAGCAACCGAGGGAATAATTAGGCTCAAAATTGAAATCTCATCACAAAATCCTGATGTGATTTGCCTTCCCCGCCCCCTATGATCAATCCAATTCTGTGGGACAATAGTGACCCCTGGTGTCTGGTTCTCCAGGGACATTATTACATTGAAGGAGAGGAAATAAGTGTGGGAAGGCATGGCTGAGCTCCTGAAGATCAAAACAGCTACAATGAGAAAGCAAAATTGATTTCTGAAATAACCATGGGAAGATTACTGCTCTTGAGAATTTGGAGAGGGCAAAGTTCTCATTTTGATCTTTCTAATAAAGCCATCAGGCACTATGGTCCAAAGGAGATCAGGATTCCTTTTACAGAGTTAGGCAAGGCTGCCTTGTTTTTCCTTTGTCCTAGCTCGGCTCATAGAAAATAAGGATGAAAAACATGAAATTAATCGAGGAGAGAAGCAACCTAGAACTAACTGTGAGAACCATCAACCAGTGGAATGGCTTGCCTTCAGAAGCTGTGGGTGCAGAAGAAGAGGCAAGAAAAATGGACAGCCATTTGTCTGAAATGGTATAGGGTTTTCTGCTCAAGCACAGGGTTGGACTAGAAGACCTCCAAGGTCCCTTCCAACTCTGACTGACATGGGATAGCAATAGCACTTAGACTTATATACTGCTTCACAGTGCTTTACACCCCTCTCTAAGCAGTTTACAGAGTCAGCCTATTGCCTATTGCCCCCAACAATCTGGGTCTTCATTTTACCAACCTTGGAAAGATGGAAGGCTGAGTCAACCTTGAGCCAGTCAGAACTGAACTGCCAAACTGCCTGCAGCCAGCAGTCAGCAGAAGTAGCCTGCAGGACTGCATTCTAACCACTGCGCCACCACGGCTCAAGACTCTAGAACAGGGGATGAGAAGTAGCAGTTCTTATCCAGGAATCTCTGGTAGCCATTTTCAGTGCTATTCCACACAGTCTGATGATTATGCAATCCAGTTCCTGAACCTTGTCTCATGGGAGAAGTTGGACCTGTTTCTCTTGTACTAACCTCCCTGTTGGTACACTCTTCCTACTGTAAATATTTCCTTCAGAATTCCCAGTTATTAAATATACAGCTTTTCCATCAACTGGGTATACAGTACATCCAAAGATGGTGGATATACATTTAGAGAAGGGAGATTGAATGAACTATTAGA